TAAGTTAATGAGATTGCTCATCTTCTGTGCTGTGGTTATTTCTATTTATTCTTCATTGTAATGCCAGTTCATACCTTTTATCCAATTTTTGAGATTGTTTGGCTTTTATTTATTTGTGGTTATTTACATATTCCAGATGCTAATAATTTTTGACTTTTATATGTTGTAGATGTTTTTCCCTAGTATGTGGCTTGTTTTTTTTTTTTTTTTGTTGTTGTTATTTTGTTTATTGTTTTTTACTTTTTAAAAAATGTTTTTTGAAAAAACAGAAATAGAATTCGATTTTTAATTACATTTATTAATCTCTTTATTGTTTGAATTTTGGGCTTTAAAATCATTCCTTAACTCAAGGTCATAAAGATATTCTCTCATATATACTTCTAACACTTATAGCACTTTTTCAAAGTTTTTTGCTTGTCACATTTACATCCCTAATTTGTATAAAACTAATTTTTTTTGTATGATGTAGGAATACAATAAATTTCCCTTCTGCAGGTCTCAGCCCTATTTAAATAGGGTGAAATGTTCTATATGTTTCTACTGGACAATCTTTTAATATTGTCATTCAGATCTTCTATATCCTTGCTGATTTGTGGACTTGATTTATCAAATAAAGAGAAAGGTGTATTAAAATCACCCATTAACATGGTGAATTATCAATTTCCCATTTTAGTTCTTATGTCATTTTTTGCAGCATACACTTCAAATTTATGCTATTAGATGTAATCAAGTTTAGAATTGTGTCATCCTGCTGAATTGATTACTCTTTTTTTGGTAAAATTTTAGTGTCTTTTGTCTTTTTCCAATATTGCTACTCCAGCAATCCTTTGGTTATACTTGATATATTTTTTCCATCATTTTACTTTCACTCATTCTATAGCCTTATATTTTAGGTGTGTCTCTTTTAAACAGAAGATAGCTGGATTTTATTTGTTTTATTCCAATCTTTGTCTTCTAACTAGAGAATTTTGTTCAATTATATTTATTGTGATTAATGTATTTTAATTTTTACTATCTTATTTTGTACTTCTTATAATTTCTTATCTAATATTTCACTTTTTCTCTTTCTCATCTTCCTTTAGATTGGCTTTTATTTAATTCCAGTTTTTTTCTGTCTGCAGGATTTGGCCTTATGCACTCTGTTTTAATCCTTTTAGGGTTACAATAGTGATTTTTACATGTATAATTAACATAGACTTTATTAAATCTAAAGCATAAATTAATCAATATCATTATCTTCCTTTCCAACAACATAATGTTTCCTTCCTTCCTTCTTTCCTTCCTTCCTTCCTTTCTTTCTTTATTTATTTTTTCCTTTCTTCTTTCTTTCCTTCCTTCCTCCCTTCCCTCCCTCTTTTCCTCTTTCTTTCTTTCTTTTCTTTCCTCCTCTTTCTCTTCTTTCTTTCTTTCTTTCTTTCTTTCTTTCTTTCTTTCTTTCTTTCTTTCTTTCTTTCTATTTTTCCCTCTCTTCTTTCTTTCCTTCCTTCCTCCCTTCCCTCCCCCCTTTCTTTTCTTTTTTCTTTCTTTGTTTCTTTCCCTTTCTTTCTTTCCTTCTTTCCTTTCTCCTCTGTCTTTCTTTCTCTCTTTCTTTTCTTTCTTTCTTTCATCTCCTATGTTGCCCAGGCTGTTCTCACACTCTTGGGCTCAAGTGATCCTCCCACCTCAGTCTCCTGAGTAGCTGGTACTACAGGCCCACACCACTCTAATTAAATTCTTTCAACTTATACACCACCATTGTTCAATATTTTAATTTGTCTTTTTCATTACCATACTTTTTTTGGTCAATGTTTGCTTAGCTTTATCCACGTTGTTACTATATTCATTGCTTACCATTCCCTTGCATATCAGATCTTCCATCAGGTGTCATTTTGTTTCGTAAATTCATTCACAAGAAGTTCCTTAAGAAACCAGGAGGAGATGGGAGGAATTTCTCAAATCCATCACCCTGAGAATTTGGGAGGAAGGGTTTCTAAAGATAGCTTGGCTTGCAAAGGGCTAGATAATTGGGTCTGCTAATTGGCTGGGTTTGGGAAGGAACCGTAGGGGTGTAGAAATTGTCTTCTTCGTTGAGTCGGTTCATGGGTGGGGGGTGCAAAACCAGTTAAGTCAGTTCCATGGTGTGGGCCACTGGTCTGGGTGTGTCACTGTTCCACCAGAATTCAGGGCCTGGAAGATATCTCAAAAACTAGCCTTAGTTTTCTCAAGGGTGATGTTATCTAAGGGAGCAATGAAGAAATCTAAGAATCTTTATGACCATCACCTATGTGACTTCTGAGTAGTAAGTAATTATAGGAGAGTAAGCTAGGGAACAATTGCTGGTTATATGCATATTTCCCCTACCACAGTTCCCACTTTGTGGCCCTTTATTAATTTTATAAAGGGTGGTTTCACTTAAGTGAGAGTCAGATGGCCATAATTCTCTCAATTTTTATTTAGCATGGTCTAGCAGGGATTACTTTGCTATAAATTTTTAATTTGGGAATATTCGGGCCACACAATTAGTATAAATTCTAGCCCTACATCTATCTGAAGTCTAACCTGATCATGAATTCTTACAAGAAATTTGCTTCTTTTTTTTTTTTTTTTTTTTTGAGACAAGATTTCTCTCTGTTGCCAGGGCTAGAGTGTGGTGGTGTCCTCAGAGCTCACCTGCAACCTCAAACTCCTGGGCTCAAGTGATCTTCCTGCCTCAGCCTTCCCAGAACCTGGGACTATAGGCACGTACCACCATACCTGGCTGATTTTTCTATTTTTTTGTAGAGAGAGGATCTCCCTGTGTTGCTTAGGCTGGTCTAAAACTCTCAAGTGATCCTCCAGCCTCGGCCTCCTAAAGTGCTGGAATTATAAGCATGAGCCACTTCACAGGCCTTGTAAATTTATCAGATGAGTCAAGGCTGAAAAAAGCAAATATATTTATGTTTCTGGCGGGAGAGTGGAGGAGGGCATTGGGAGTGGGTTTAAAGTTTTGTTTTTTCTTAGTTCACTTTTTCACCACTGATGTTTCTTTTCAGTGGTCCCAGCCTTATGTAGGAATCTTTGATCTGACTTTTCATCTTGCTAGGCTTTGTATGATGTCCCTGGGACTTGTAAGTCCTATTAAAATTGAAGCTCTAGGTCCTCTCTAGCAGTAAGTCATTTTGATGTTAAAAACAGATAATTCCAGGTTCAGGAAAACTCAGTTGTATTTCGGTATGAATTCTTCATACTGAAGAATACTGTGTGTATGTGTGTATGTGTGTGTGTGTGTGTGTGTGTGTGTGTGTAATTATATGTGATTCAAAGAAGGAAAGGAATCAGTATTAAAGCAATTCATATAGTTGGCATTGAATAATTGAATTATAAATCATGGAAGCAAAAAAAAAAAAGTAGGGGAGGTTCAATTTGAACTCCTCGATAGTTATAGCTGCTGAAGACAGCGTTTATGAAACAATTGCCTTTATGCAAAAAGTATTTCCTTGTTTTTCTATCCTTTTGAGAAGGATTCTCAATGTGAGAAGTGAAAATAGTGTGCTGCATGGCTGCATTAAATTGACAAGGGTCCAGACATGTTACAGCTAATTTTAGTAGGTAGAACAGACACGGTTTAGCTTATTTTTATCTGTCTTTCTCGCTCCCACCCTCAACCCTCCAGGTACACATGTTATAAGATTCCCTAGAGTCAGGACGTGGAAGTGGAGAGTTTCAGTACAGATCTTAAAATCATATTGCTCTGACCAAGAAAAAGAGGGGAAAGAGGGAAAGAAGGAGAAGGTGGGGGGAAAGGCGAAAAGAAGGAAAAGGGAGGGAGGAGAAGAAAAGAAAAAAGAAAGAAGGGGGAGAAAATTTTGCAAATGGGAAAGGAACGAAGGAAGCTTGGATGCAGGGAGAAAAAGGAGCGAGAAATAGAGCGAAGAGTGTGGGAAAGAGACAAGCTAATTATCATAGTCTCAGGTCCGCTGGAGAGAGAACCTTCATCAGCACTACAGAATCCCGAAGAGTCAGTGTATTGTTTTCTTGAAAGCCCCGAAGCTAAGCAATTCCAAGAATGTTTGGCAAAGCCCTTTTGGGAACGACGCGGTGGGGGAAAGTGGGGGGGCTGTCTTACCGTCTCCCCACACCCCCCGTCCCGGGCCCCTCACTTGAAATGACTGGATTCGGGAGACCTAGCGGAAACCTTCAGGTCACCCGGGGAACTGCTCCTCTCGCTGGTCCTGCGGCGGCGAGGCGGGGGGGTGAGCGCGCCGAGACGCGCGGGGCGCGGAGATGTGCAAGTGGCGAAGCTTGACCGAGCGCAGGCGGGAGCAGCCGCCCGACTCCCGGCGCGGGATCTGCTGAGAGACCACGGTGAGTCTCTCCGGGTGCGGGTCCAAGGGATGCTCGGGTTTCCCGTCGCCCCCTGGCCCGGGTAGAGGCTGGCCCGGAACCTCCCCGAAGTCCGGCCTCAGCTAGCGCCGCTCAGGGCGCTCCTGGGCGGATGCACCGACTGACCGGCGCTCGGCGGGGTTCCCGCCCGCAGCCCTCAGCCCGCCGCCCGCCGCCGCCCGGCCCCGCGCGCTCATTGGTCGGGATGTGTCTGCTCAGCAGCCTCCAACTTCTCCCGAATCCCACTGGTGAGTCCCGGGAGAGCGAGCTGGCACCTGGGCGCTGAGCGAGAAGGGTCCAGAGGGCGCGAGCGCCCGGGGCGCTAGGAGCCCGTGGGACGGGCTTGGGGAGGGCAGAGCCGGCCGCGGGGAGCGGCTGCGGGGAGGCGCGGGCAGGGTCAGCGGCTAAGGTCTGGCGCGATCGGAGCGCCGGGACTCCACGGCCGTGGGCGAAGGAGGCGTGCCCTGGGAAGGAGCCACAACCCGGACCTGAAGAGGGAGGGAGGGAACGGGGCAGAGAGGGTGACCTGGAGGAGGACTCTGCGAGTGATGTCAGGTCGACTCTTCAGGTTCATTTCCATAGCTCCCTGCAGCCTCCGCCTGGGGAGTTAGCTCTGGTTACGGAGATCAGCGCTACCAAATTGCAGCGGGGCTGATTTTGGGGCTGGGAATTTGCCATTCTGCTGTACAGACACAGATTTTTTTTTTTAAGCAAGGTTTGTTTTCATTTTGGTTTCTGTCGGATTTTCTCCTCAATTGTAACTCACTTTTCTGTTTTTGCTTTTCTTAACCTGAATATCTTTTCGTTTTCCCACCTCTTCATCTTGTTTTGAACCTTGATTTCCTATTATATAATTTATGCTTAAATCACACAAGGGTTGGTTGGTGCGGGGCGGGGGTGTTCTTTTGCAGATGAAAGTTTTAAGACCATCTCCTTGCTTAACTGGTCTCAATCTATTTTTATTGTTTGAAAATAAGGGTAATTGCAAGCGAACGTCCTCTTTAGCCTCTCGATCAAGTCTATTACTCCTCTATATATGATTCATGTGGCAATTTTGTTAAACTGAAAACTAGTACCTGACTTGCAGCGTCAGCATTTAGAAGCTGCTAATCGGCAATTCGGCTATGACGGCGTGCAGGTTCCCTCCCTTGAGTTATTGCTGGGTTCCAGCACTTAAAAAATATTGTCTAGTAATTTCTTGAACTCGATGCTGTGTCTTTTGTTGTATAGCGACACTACACGTGGGGGGAGTGTGGTTGGGACTTCGTGCCCAGAACTGCGTAGTTCAGGCCCCAGGAAACACCTACTAATTAATGTCTGGGAAATAAGAAGATGATTTCTCCTGAGTACCTCTCTCCCCAGCTTCTGCAGACACAGTTTAAACATGGAACTTTTCTCTCCTCCCTGTGCCTAAGTTTCCATAATGCGAACTGTAATTGCATAGCACAACCTCAAGGACGTGCAGAAATAAGTTAATGTTGTAATGTGCTGTGAAAATGAAAATTACTTACATAAGTCTGTGTCTATAAATCTATAAGTAGACTTCCCTCTAACAAATCAATTATCCAGGTTTCCTGATTTGACTGTCTGATAAGGTGATGCTTATGCTCAATTGATATAAGAATTGCTGCTTTACATTGTTTTGAATTCATCTTATTTTAAGCAACATAATAATTCATTCTTCTGGTGATGTTGTCACGCTGAAGTTTGCTGGGTTCTTGTTGAGTTAGACCTCCTAATTCTCTATTCTCTTCATCTGTGGCGGTGTCTACTTTTTGGTTTAAACATTTTAACACATCTCCAGTTGAGGAGAAATATTTTAAGAATATAGGTATGTTTTTCGTATATCCTACTTTATATGGGATTACAATCACCAACTTTGTAATTTCTTTGTATTCTTTTGTCTGCTTGGGCCCCTTTCCCTCCCTCTCTTAAATGAGGTTGGGTGTGGTTGAGTTGGATATTCAGGTACCTGGGTGTTAATGATATGTTCCATCCTGAGGTTCAAGATTCTGTCCCCTATTTTCTTGAAGGAAATAACGAATCCTCCAGAATTAACTGGAAATGAATGACAAAGTTAATCAGGAGGTTAAACTTGCATCATTTCTGCTTCTGCTCAATGCTGTCAAAAAGTACTACTTAGAAGCAAAAGACTTCTTTGAAGAATTTACAGAGCATTTACAAGAGGGACAGATGGAGAAAGAGTTTGCAGGTTATTCAAAGGTGACATTCATTTGCTGCAGCTTCAGTCACTGCCTTAATTTCCCTGTAACTGTTTGCAGCCTTAGGTGCCCAACCATTAAGAGCACAGCTGCCTCATACCCCAGGCTGAAGGGTAAGGAGAAGAAGCCAGGGAAAAGTAACTCAAAAGGGAGAAAGAAACCCCTGCCTACTAGCTTTACTGCACTACATGAACCCCGTGCCTACCCTACTTCCCCCGCACTAAGCTTTATTTTTCAGAGACACTGATTGCTGTTTCTAAGGAAGAACTGAAAAAAAAGAAGTGGGTCATTTTATATCAGTAAAACATTTCTCTAGATTGTCTTCTGAAATATTATTAGAGCTGGGGGAGACATATTCAAGAAAGGCAAATACTAGAGCAAACGTGATTAATACTCAGATGTTCTTCAGGTCAGTCTTGAAATCAGGAGGGACTGGGAAAATTACTCTTTTTGTTGTTTACCTCTCTGTAAGGTGTCCAAGTATTACATTTGTTCCCATCTTTTCTTTGCCCAACCACTACCCCTATGAAAATAGGCCTAAAATCAATGAATGCAATTCCATATCATAACCCCAGGGGTGGTGAAACTAAGCCAACATGAGTTACATAACCATTAAGTAAGACGTTTTAACATTCAGGTACATTACATTCCACTTTTATTGAGCAGACACAGTTTTCATTGTCTAATAAAGTATTTTTATTTGATAGTCTGTCCTTGCTTATAGCCTCTTGTAATCAAAGGGACGGCATATTTAAGACTTTGTATCCAGAACTTTAAAGTCTCGTTGTGCTTCACTTATTAATAACTCACTGGGGAGATTAAATTCCTAGTTATCTGCTAGATCTCTCAGACCACACTTCAAATGTAGAATACATTTCTACTTTCTTCTATGCCTCAGTTTCCACAAAACACAACTTCAGGGAATTATGTGTATTCACAAAGATCTTTAACTATAAGAGCATTTCTGAGCAATCACTTCATGTAGGAAGTAAATTCTAAGATTAATGTGTGCTGAACTATAAACAGCTAATTTTTTAGTTTAAGATGTTCTTTTATACAGCCATGCAGAAAAATGGAAATTGTATGTTCTAAGCTTTAGTGACTGACTTATAAAGAATCACTAGGCCTCTAAAAGAAACAATGAAATATAATATTTTGGCTTGTATCCCCTTAATTTTCCACCTAAATTTCTGCAATAAGATCTTAAATAGTTTTTCTTGCATGATGATACAGTTTTACTTTGAACAATGACCAAATGTGCTCCTTACAAAGAATATTGACTAGTTGTGTAGCTTTGAGCAAATTACCTGAATTCTCTGTGCTTCAGTTTCCCAAAGTATAGAATCGGAATATTAATAGCCATGTTATGATGGTTATATAAATTAGTATATGTAAGACACTAAAAACTGTGACGGGCACATGGGAAGTATACAGTAAATATCAGCTCTTATTAGTAGAAGTATTACTTTCATTAATTTAAATACAAATAAATTTATGTCTTAACAATTGATACTCTGACCTGCAAGGTAGAAATTATTTTAATCATATATATTTTTTCTCCTTCAGTTGCCCAAGAAAACATTGATGTGGTTAATATTTTTCATCCCAGGGTGTAAACCATTGACTTTTGGTTCAATGAGTGACCATTTTCAGAATATTATCTAACCGGTTAATAGATACCCATATCAGCAGTAGTAGTAATTTTGAACTGTAAAAATAAAAGTTGTTTTTATGACTAAAATAAACTACCTCAAGTGTTTGTTCCTTTTGGGTTTTAATCTGTAGTTATATTTCGAATGATTGCTTAGTCAAAACCCCTAGGTATTAGTCATTGATTTTTGAGCTTATAAAGGAAGCTACTGGAGCAAGATGTAAAAGTAACCTTTGACGTTAGTCCAAAGTTTAGAAGGGTGAGTTTAAACTTTCTTAATCATGTACAGCAATTATTTTCTTATGAACTGCTGAAGTAATCCTACATGAGTGTTTAACCAAGTCTATTTGTCTAAATTTACTGGGATCTTCAAGGATATATATTTTAAAAAACCAAAAGGTTATAACTGGGACCTGTCAAATTCATCTGGCTCTCTATTGTAGTTTTCAGCATCAAAATTTTCACTTTTCAACCAAAAAAACTTATGTCTAACTTAAATTAACTTTTTAGTTTGTTTAGCCACATTAAGTATTTGGAAAATTGTATGTGCATTTTCTCTTTTTATCTATTTATTTGTTATTGGAATTTTAATTTTTTGCAGATTTTAGGTAATGGGAAGATCAGAAAGTCAGATGGATATAACTGATATCAACACTCCAAAGCCAAAGAAGAAACAGCGATGGACCCCACTGGAGATCAGTCTCTCAGTCCTTGTTCTGCTCCTCACTGTCATAGCTGTGACGATGATAGCACTCTATGCAACCTATGACGGTGAGTTACGGCCATGCCCATGCACACACAAATACAGAAGAGAAGGCAGTCTCCATCTACTTAACAGACGTATTAAGGATAGAGACACTTGAAGAGGGTGATATAAAGATTCATTTGTAAAACATGACATCCATATGTCAAAACAATTAACTTTGATTACAGTACAGTGTCTTTTATGTTTGAGCTAAGTTATTAATTGCCAAGTGTATTTAGTGCACTCATGCTTACTTTATGGGGATTCTAATGTGCAATTTTATTTGATTAAAGTATACACAATTTTATGGCCAACTTTAGTAATAGGCATTAGTCAACTTCTGCTGTGTCGTTGAAATTCTAAAGGACTTCACAGGAATTTAAGAAATCTAGTTTGAGTCTTGGAAGTTTTTCGCAATTAGGATTAGAAAAGATTGGCTCCTTAATGGGAAGAAAATGATTACTAGACTAAAGCAACTGATTATTTCAATTAAATAGGCCTAGGGCTTAGTTGGCAGAAATGATATATAATAACATATTTTCCTTCATAATCAACATTTTAAATTTAGGATTTGCCTATTTTATTCCCCTGTATTTTTTTCTAACCACTGACAATGATATACAATACTCAGTTTTTAGTTCTTGCTTTAAGGACTTGCTTATTTAATTGGGACTTTTTAAAGGAACAAAAGATAGGGAGAAATTAGAAAACCTATATTACAGATATTTATGTATATATTCTCCTTTTTCTAGATGGTATTTGCAAGTCATCAGACTGCATAAAATCTGGTAAGAATTGGTTTTTTACATTTATTTGTTTTACAATTAATGTGTAACTTTGAAAAATCATTCACTTTGTTTATACTTTTATTCATTGTAAATAACTTATTTATGTGTCATGCTTTATAGCCAAGGAAAACTAAAAAGTATTTAAGTAGTAGATTAGGTTTTCAGCCCTAGCCTTCATGATAGTGTGTTACAAAACCATATCTTTGTTTTTATGGAGCTTGCCATGTACTTGGAGAAAGAAAATGAACATGTATGAAATGGTGGGCGTCATATAATTGTTAAATTTCTCAATGCACATCATTAGAGGGGTGAGAATTAAGAAGGGAGTGACATGCAGTCATATAAGGATAGGTGGAGAAGTTGAGATTTGGAAGAGCCTTGAAGTGGGACAAGGATTTAGAAATGGAGGTGCAGAAGGGAAATTCCAAACAAGGAGATAAAACAACAGGAATAAATCATGATATTAAGAAGCAGTAAAAACATAGGCTTGATGGACAGGGGCACATTTTAGAGAGGGTGGAAAATCCATGTTTAGCCTTGATATTATAATAGAAGAGAAACTTTTTTGTTTTTTTTTTGAATGGGGGAGTGACCAGGCAGAAATTAAAGGCTGACTCTGGGAATGCTGGGCTGGATGGATTGAGTGAGGCGTGATAAGCCTGGGACAGCGGGCAGGAGGGGGCTGCTGCTGTGATCCAGGTGTGAGCGAGGAGGTCAGCCTATGGTGCCATGAGGGCACGACTGAGACGACAGGAAGGGGGATTGGAAGACTCAATAGAATTGACTTGCTAAATGAAATGAAGGATGCAAATGAGTTGAAAATGACGTTAAGTTTTAAAACCCAAGGTCCTAAGGAGAATGGTGACAGCCCACACAGAATAGAGAGGTTAGGAGGTGGATCTGGATGTGTTTGGTCTGAGCACGGGTAGCACCTAAGAGAGTATAGACAGGAGGAAGGTAGAGGTGGGATATAAGAAGCTGGAATTTGGATTTGGGATCTGTCAGCTTAGGGGTGATAATGGAAATCTTGGGAGTATTTGGATTCCCAAAAGGAGAAGAGAGGAAGTACCAGGGCTGACCTTAAGATGAAATCGATAATTAGGGTAGGAAGAAAATAAAAGCCAGAGAGGGAAACAGAGAACTGTATGGAGGTATAAAAGTCACATCCATTAGAGTGTGGTGAACAAAGGAGAAGGGCATTTGTCCTTTCTTCAAGGAGAAGAAAGATGGTAGCTAGATACAGCACTCTTGGATATGAACACAATGTTTATGTCCCTCAACAAGAGATTTCTAAACCTCCTTTCTAATGTCTACGTGTTTTCTAAGAAATAAATTGTCCCAAATGATTTTAACCGTTTTCTGTCATGCATTCTTATCCGAGTTTTTGTTACTCACAGAACTTTGCAAAATAATAGCAGGAAAATGTCTTGAAATTCTAGGTTATGGTCTAATGTCTTGCATCTGTGCCCTTTGCTTTTCTGTATTGCTCTTTGATGGGTTTTTGTTCTGAATCTCAAATGCAATGGACATACACCCTGACATATGTGGGGAGCTTGAGGAAGACCTGGTTTAGATATTAGCTATTTGCTGCTCAATATAATAACATGCACTTTCACAACCAAGGGCTTTCCCAGAAACAAAGTAGTTTCTTTATTCCCCAGGGAAATGGCTGTACAGGTACCTTGGCTGGGAGATGTCCAGGTTCACTGTGTGAAATTTGGTATGTGCCCAGTTGTCAAAGTTACCATTTACTTCCTCCCAAAATCTTCCAGCTCCTTTCTCTCTCATCAGCTACCCTGTTATATGCTCCTGCCTGTCCTGTTTCAAGAAACTACCACTTATGTATTGACTTTTAAGGGTTAGTTCCTCTGTCCTTAATAAATATGACATGTCTCTTAAGTATCTTAATCTGTAAATTCTATCTTTTCTTTCTCTCTTTTTTTCTTTCTCTCTTTTTTCTTGCATTTTATTTTTGAAGAAACTGGATTCTTTGACTAGATTGACATATTTTTATAAACTCCTTGAGGTGATTTTTCCTCAAAGATATAGGCAGGTTTCTCCTAGTAGTACCCATCCCAAGGAACAATATGACATTTGTAATCTGGAATCTTAAATATGATGTAATATTTAGGGTTTAAATATGATGTAATATTTATGGTTTTTAAATAGTGTTTGGCAAGTCTCAACTCACTAAAATGTATTTAACCTGTATCCTTTTAATTGTAGCTTAGAAATCACACCAAATGTAAAATACCTGGCAGAACTATAGCTTGGCAGAGAAATGTATACAGTAGTGATACCTTCTCTGGTAAACCTGGTTGCTGTATAGCCGTGTGTTTCTCTTCATTCTGCTCTGTTGGTTCACAAACTATTAGAATACTATCATATTCTTTCATATTTATAGTTATTATTCTTCCTGGGGGAATAAATGATGACACACAACAAATGTGTTATGTACCCTCATAAATAAACTCTTCACACCATGCAAACACACACACACACGCACACATACAATCTTCTGCTGGTTAGGAAATCTTTTCTATTATACCACAGAAAATATAACTATTTCTTTTATAAGTTTTTGCAAATTAGGAAAACTCTAGGGGAAGTCTTTCACGGAAGCAAGTCATAAAGAAGAGTAAGAAGAATGGAGTGGATGGAAAGGAAAAAAAAGATGAAAATAAAGATGTTAAAAAATATTATAAAATATCTTACCAGCAATTCTGTAGATCACTTTAAGAGACTGAGAGAGTTCAAATATGAGCTCAGAAATTTCTGAGAATTGGGAAAGTAAGTAGCGATATCCAAGGTTCTTACTTTAAGTGAAAATTGGTTCCAACTTGAATCTTTCTTGCAGTGGAAAGGAATGTCATGGCAAGTGTACTTTTCTCTTTGATCCATTGAAGTCAAGGGATAGAAGTCAAGTCATACCAAAGCAGAAATAAAATATTGCAAAAGGGCTGGGCATGGTGGCTCACACCTGTAATCCTAGTATACTGGGAGGCCAAGGCAGGAGGATTGCTTGACCTTAGGAGTTTGAGACCAGCCTGAGCAAGAGAGAAACCCCATCTCTACTGAAAATAGAAAAATTAGCTGGGCATCATGACATGTGTCCGTAGTCCCAGCTACTCAGGAGGCTGAGGCAGGAGGATCACTTGAGCCCAGGGGTTTGAGTTTGCAGTGAGCTATGATGATGTTACTGCACTCTAGCCTGTGTGACAGAGCTGAAAAAAAAATTGCAAAAGGCTGTGGATCATATTTGAAATCTGTTTGGTGTTATGTAATTTAAATTTGAGCGTCTATGATTTAAATATTTATGATGTACATAAAATGATGTTTATAATACATACTTTAAATTAACTTGCCTATTTGTGAAATGCATCAGTATGAAAGATTATACCAGGTATAAAATAAAACAAATACTATTTAACAAATAACAACTTAAGGCAGAATTCAAAACCCTATTATTAAAGTATATTATTCATCACTTATTTACCATATAATATTGTCAAAAACTTGGAGTTATAGAGCCTGTATGTGATTTTTCAGACTTCTATATGTAAATCTAAATCCTGAAACTGGCTTCCATTGCATTGTAATCTTCCTAACTTAGAAGATTTCAAGGAATTTTATGCTTTAAGTCAGTTTCTCAGCCTCATCACTGTTGACATTTGGGGCTGGATAATTCTTTGTTATGGGTGCTGGCCTGTGCAATACAGCATGTGTAGCAGCATCCCTGGCCTCTACCCACTAGATACCCAGGAACACCCCTCTCCCCATTTTGACAACCAAAATGTCTCCAGACATTACCAGATGTCCCCTGGGGGCAACAGAATCACCTTTGGTTGACTACCATTGGTTTAAATAATCTTGAGAGGTTATCAATGCTTTTCCCTTTGTGGTAGGCAGAATAATGGTCCTCTGAAAATGTTCATGTCCAATTCCCAGAACCTATGACTATGTTACCTTATATGGTAAAGGGACTTTAAAGACAAGATTAAGTTAAGGATGATCTCTCCTGAAATGGGGAGATTATCCAGAATTATTTGGGTGGTCTTATGTAATCACAAGGGTCCTTATAAGGTTATTTTGACCTTCCACCTTTTGCCATGGGAGGAGCCAGAAGACCCTCAGCAGATGCCGGCACCTTCATCTTAGACTTCCGAGCCTCCAGATCCATGAGGAAATAAATTTGTGTTCTTTTTAAATTACCCAGTCTTAAGTAACTCGTTATAGCAGCACAAAATAGACTTAGACAAGGAATAAATATAATAATAGAGTATAGGAGGATAATAGACTCATAGAATATAATAAAATTAAAATATAATAGAATAATAATTGCTAGCGCTTAATGTTTATGTTTCTGGCACTACTGTAAGATTGTATTAACACATTTGATCCTCATAATGAAACAGTGAGGTAGGTACTATTATACCTTCTTTTTACAAATGAACAGACTAGAGCTAGGATTCCAACGCCGGCAGCATGGCTCCAGAGCCCGTTTTCCTGGCCACTTCTCTTTGTTGCCTCAAAGGAGAACAGGAGTCTGGAAAACTTTCGATACCCAATGTGTGTATATACAGTGTATGAGAGTAGATTGCCCTCCCCACCTCCTGCTAGAACATGGAGCTAAAAGACATACAACGACGCTCAGAGGGTTAGCATAATTAATTCAGATCCAGAAGTAGGAGAATAAATATCTCTTAGGCTCCAGAAACCAGCTACTTTACTACGAGCAATGAGCAACATTATCAGTGATTTTAGTACAACCAAATACAACAAGGAATTGAGGGGTCTAAAGAAACAAATGTTAGCAGTATGGTCCTAAACTATCCAGGGACCAGAGAAGCCAAGTTAAGAAATATGAGCAATAGAGTTCACAAGAGAGAGCAGAACCACTTGTACAGTCATGCAGGGTGTACACTGCACAACTGTCTGTGGCAGCCCTGAGAAACAGGCTTGTGGAACATTAAGACCCAGATGAAACACCCCTCGGAACT